AAAGGTGGTGGGAAAAAGCAATACACGCCATGGATGTACGCAAGCGGCGCCTTACCTCGCTCAGGGCAAGTTGGACTTGGCTTCAGCAGCACCAGGGCGATCAAGCAAAGGGGACTCGATCCTAGCCCCGTCTTCTTACATATGCTAGACCGATACCTGAACATGCCGCTGCTAGGTGATTCGCAACAATCTCAAGCGGGAAGGCCTTGTCACCTGCATTACCATACTCAGTCCTCTTCCCACTCCTACGGTTGTGTCCTTCTTTCCTTTTCGTAATCACATTGCATGTGCGGAGTTAAGTGACACCATGGCATTGGCAGGATTATTCGTGAAGGCAATCGGCCTCGGGGCAGTCCTTCTCATCACTCGATACGTTTTGGCTTACTTGCAATCCCCGCTCAAATCTATTCCCGGTCCCTTTCTAGCCAAATTCTCGGATATCTGGCGTTTCCTAAATCACTATGGGCAAACTCATATTGAGACCCAGAGGAAGCTTCATGAACAGCACGGCGATATCGTTCGTCTCGGTCCCAATACCGTCAGCGTTGCCGATGCCAGTCTGATCAAAACTATTTACAATACTCGTGGCACGTACTTGAAGGTAAGCGCATGGAACACGGCTGCTATTTTGGACGACTGCTGACATCACAATAGAGCGATTACTACGTAAGATATAGACAGTCGTCCTTAGAAGTGGATCATGCTAACCCTCCTTCGGTCTATCAACGACGCCCTTCAAGATGGGCATCTCATTCAAAACATCTTCAGTACGCGCAGCAATGAATTCCACTCCAAGAATGTTAAGCCAGTCCAAAAGCTGTACAGTCTCAAAAATGCCCTTCAGATAGAGAGTATTATGGACGACAACCTCCGTACCCTATGCAGTCAACTCGACGCCCGCTTTGTGGAAGGCGCCAACAAGGACCAGACATGCGATATTGCTGATTGGATCTCATTCTTCGCATGGGACTTCTTGGGTGATATGACCTGGAGCAAGCGTATTGGCTTCATGGAACAGGGTACAGATGTTGGCGATATGCTTGGAACCGCTGAACGTGTGATGCGCTATTTCTCCGTGGTATGTTCTATGCTGAGTCAAAAACTTATCAAAACTGTTACGATTGCAAAACTTCTTACTGACATTCGCTAGGTCGGCCAAATGCCAGCCCTTGACAAGTGGCTCGGAAAGAACCCTAAGTGGCCACGCTCGCTCTATAAGTTCGATGACTTCTCCGTTGCTGCCGGCTTCTCCGTCGAGCGGTTTATGGAGCGTATGCAGAAACCTGAACTTGGCAACGGAAAGAAAGATTTTCTCAATGGCTTTCTCGAAGCAAAGAAGGAGTTTCCGGACCTTGTCACCGACAACGAGGTTATTGGATACATGATCATTAACGTGAGTGTTTCATGGCTGCGCTGTGGCGTGAGTAGAACTAACACTGCTCCTGCAGATTCTCGGTGGTGCCGATACTCTTGCCATTGTGATAAAAGGTATCTTCTATCACATCCTCAAGTCATCAGCATCCAAAGAACGCCTCGTCAACGAACTCCTCTCTGCACATCTCTCCTTCCCTGCATCCTATACTGGCATCGAACAGCTACCCTACCTGGATGCATGCATCAAAGAAGGTCTCCGTATGCATCCCGTTGTAGGTCACATTCTCGAGCGCGTCGTCCCTGCAACTGGTCTTACATTGTCCAACGGAACAACATTGCCGCCAGGAACCATTGTCGGGGTGAATCCATGGGTCCTTCATTACAAGGAAAGCATTTTCGGTGCGAAGCCCCATGAGTTCCGTCCGGAGCGATGGCTGCAAAGTGAGCACGAAGAATCCGGCGCGTACGAGGCCAGGATCAAGAAGATGAAAGACGCAGACATGTCGTTCGGAGGAGGCAACAGGATCTGCCTTGGCAAACCTTTGGCACTAGTAGAGGTCTACAAGGTCGTTGCGACGGTATTTGGGAGATATCAGGTACGTTTTGAATTCTTCTGGGTGTCGATGTGAGTGCTAATGTCTCAAAGATTGAGCTTGAGGACCCAAACAAGGAGTGGGATCTACACAAACAATGGTTCGTTTGGCCGCATGACATCAAGGTCAAGCTGGGTCCACTTGAAAGCATCAGCGCGCCATGAGTATCTTCATGCGACACGGCACCTATATGGGATTGAACGAAGCATGCGATACACCCACACACAGTTTCGATATATCTGGAGAAGCCGATCTTGCAATACTACATTACCAAGGGAGTCTGAGATGTGTTCATGGTGTGCTTGTGATCTTCGCGCGTTCGGATTCGTGATCAGTGACACTGCGTGTTCTCATAAACTTCGTTGAACATGTAGACAGTCGAATGTATTGTCGCCCTCATCCGAGCATGCAGGGTTGCTACGATTCGCGGAAGCGATCCAACATCATCGAAATCGTCATCAATCACGCTAGCCTCTTCGGTCTTAGAAGCACGGCCCTTCGGCTCTGGCTTCGTTCGCCGCCATTCGTTCTTGCATCCCAACATCGCCAATATACGTGACAGTACATCTTGCGTCTTCTCAGTTGCTTACGGCATCTGCATTTGGAAGAGATGGTACGATTGTCGGGACTCCAGAAAGACGTTTTGTCCCTCTACCGACAATGCTTAAGAGCTGTGAAGCAGAAACCAACGGTATGTCAATTGCAACACTATGATTACAAACACCTACTCACGCATTCATAGGAGACGCAGTCGCATTTCCGGGACTTTGCAAGGTGCGATGAAGTAAGATGAACAACACGCTGATGCGGCGGCTGATGAGTATCTCCAGATCCGAATTCCATAAGCACCGGGATGTCGGCAAGAAAGACTTCGGTACTATCGAGTATCTACTTCGAAGAGGGAGAAACCAACTGGAGACATGGTCTGAGCCAGGCATCCGAGACATCCACAGGTAGCGGGGGAATGCAGGATCCAGGGACGAAGAACGAAGCGGTGCACCAGTGAGCGAGCACCCAACGTCACCGTGATACAACCTGTTAGATGAACATCACGCAATACATGACCGAATTGCGGGGTACACGGGCCTTGTGCAGCAGATACCTCACATGTCGCTCCCAAGGCGTTGGATACTTTGAGCGCGGACATCACGTGATATGGTCTGAGCCACCACCCCGAACTTTCTAGTGCCAACTCGCCCCTCACCGAAGCAGGATCAGCCGGAAGCTCGCCATCATAGTTTCCCCAGACAAGCGCTGGAAGCTTCTCATCTCACGATCTCGTCTGATCGCGTACGACAACATGACGACAAAGGTCGTGTTCGAAAGCTCTAGAAACTCCCCGAGCCATCTCCGAGGCTTCTCGCAGCATCGTCGTCGACGCAACACCAATGCCTCTCCGCAGTGCGATCATGCGAGAAACTCATCTCTCGAGTATATATAGCCTTCGAGGCGTCTCTCAAAGCTCATCATCAGCACAACAAACAACGAATCTTCTATGCAATTAATCCGCTCTACAATCCAACGAGTTCCTCGACAACTCAACCGCATTTCCAAGCCTACGATCACGACCACTCGACGCTTTTCCAACGCACCAGCAACAATGTCTCTCTTCCCACGATTCACTCAGGAATTCGCTCCTATCTTCCGTCTCTTCGACGAGTACGATAGGCAAGCCTTCCGCAACCTCGACCGCGAATTCACCAACGTCCGGTCCTTCACTCCCAAGTTCGACGTGAAGGAAACCAAGGAGGGCTACGAACTCCACGGAGAACTCCCCGGTGTCGAGCAAAAGGACATCAACATCGAGTGGACCGACAACAACACGCTGACCATCTCGGGCCGCCACGAACACGTCCGTGAGGAAGGTCAACGCCCTCAGGGCTTCATCGAGAACGGTGAAGCTTCCCAGCAGAAGAAGCTCCAGCCCAAGGTCGAGGACGACCCTAGCGAATCCAACAAGGTCGCCAAGCAGTCCGAGAACAAGGACGTCTCCAAACACGACGAGAACAAGGCCAAGTACTGGGTCAGCGAGCGCTCAGTCGGAGAGTTCCACCGCTCCTTCGCCTTCCCCGCTCGTGTCGACCAGGAAGCCGTCAAGGCTAGTCTCAAGAACGGTATCTTGAGCATCCTTGTTCCCAAGGCTCAGGCTCCTCAGCCCCGTAAGATCAGCATTGAGTAGATCGAAGCGGTTCGACTGAACGACTACGAACGACGATGAATGACGACTTCTCTCCTTTATTGAATCAGCGAGCGCGGCATAACAATGGAGTTTGCGATGGGTTATTGTAGTGTTTTGGGCTAGTTCTGTGCTTGTAGCGGTGGCAGCATTCACTCTCTTAGTCGGACAGCGGTATTAGGAGTTTGTATGTAGTTCATCGCAATGTAACAAGTTTACACGATCCCCCGTGCCGGTTTCAGTTATGGTCTGGTTGGTCTTTAGCACAGTCTCCTCGGTATCAAATGTCCACGGTTGGGTTGGTTCGATTTCTTCGGTCTGGTAACAGCAACCACGGGTTGAGACAGTGCTAGACCGACCGGACCGTCGCTGGGGTCGACACGGGGTTTATCGAACTCATCGCTTTTTACCATCTAATGTTGATGGTGATGTGTCGTTGATCTTTGAGATGCTCTTAGCTCTTTTCTAATCATTCAATAGTGAACTGAATTTCGTGCTAGGTGGATCGCGCGTGATATTTTGCTGTCTTTTGTGCTACATGATGTGCTAACGTGTGGCGAGGGGAGCCATTGTGAGAGGCGTGGGCATCGAATTCCATACCAACTGCCACTACCTTATTCAAAACGACTTCACTCTTATATCCTTAACGAAAGCATAGCCGTTCCCTCAAGCCTTGTACTACACGCAACAATGCGCACCTGCTACAAGCGCAGGCAAAAAATAATCGCTATGCGTCGCACCTTCCCTGGTTATGGGTCCAAGACGACCCATAAGCCAAAAAAGAATGATCATCTCGCAATTGTGGAGAAGGATGTTATGCATCCTCCGGGAGCTGAAGAGGTTGTTAGAATGATGCTTGTTGATGTGGGAGTGGAATAGAACGTACTCGAACCCGGGCCAATTGCTTGGAAGGCAATTATCCTACCGTTGGACCAAGAATGCTTGATGGAGATTTTCCAGAAAATGTAGTATATATACACAGCGGTTGTGCTACTGGAAAGCGGCTCCAACAGCTTCGCGTTCGACCTTGTTCGTGATAATCGCGGTCTAAAGCTACAGGTACGATCATGTGGATAGATTCCCGGGAGACTTAGCGCCGAGCTACATACTACGTCGTTTAGACCACGACCCACAATTTTGCCAGTCTGGTAATAGAGACACCAGAATCCGTAAACGTGCGGTAAACATGCTAGACTTCATAGCAAACCTCACAGTAAAATTTAGCGATGCGAAACCTGTTGGACACGGGAGACACGGGAGCTTGTGCTTCCACAGTAGTCGGATACAAATTCAGGAAGCGGACCGTCCAGCTAGTATACTAAAAGCTTCCTATATGTTTCCATTCTATCAAACGCATCTGTTGCGCAGGAAATGTAGACCAGTGTATCTCCCCAGATCTTATGCGCAGTGCGTCCCTCAATCACCCGTTCTTGAGTTCTCGATCTTCGTTACAATGAGGTCGGTGGCCCCAACCTCTGTCAATTTGTCCATGGCAATAGCGATATCTTTCCTCAGCACCATAGCCTGTACAGCCACCCAGCCATCCTCTTCCAACGCGTTGACGGTGGGAGCGCGGCGTCCGGGAGTGATCTTGCGCGCGATATCGAGTTTCGATCGGTCGATGTTGTATGTGCACAGAACGTACTTTTGAGCAGCTACGAGAGATTAGTTGTGCTAAATGAATGCGGAAGTCGATGCGACTTACTGATAACACCCTTTATCCGAGCGGTGATCAGCTCAACCAGTTTGGGGTCTGATGGGTGCTTTGACTTGATGAGGATGGCGCTGGAATCAACGACTGTGGAGATGGCCTTGAGGCCTGCAGCGCGCATTGTCTCTCCTGACTCCACCAAATCGACGATACCGTCCGCGACACCCAACGCGCATGCCGCTTCAACACTGCCGCCAACGTACTTGATGACTGTCTTGAGTTTCGCATCGCCATTGGCATCGCCATTTGTGTTTCCAGCTTGTTCGGCCTCGAGTTTCCGGAAGTACTGCTCAGCCAGGTTGGTGAAGCTGGTGACAACGTTCTTGCCGATCAAGTCCTCTGGCTTGGCTAGGTCGCCCTTTGCGGGGACTTGTACCTGCAGACTGCATTTTCCAAAACCGAGATCAAGAACCTCCTCTACACCGCTGGTGGCAGTAGGTGGTGCAACGCACTCGTGTTCTGCGACTTGATCGCGCCCGGTTATGCCCAAGTCTACGCGACCTTCTCCTACGAAAGTCGGGATATCGGCGGCGGGTAGGAAGACGAGAGCGAGAGGGTGGTTCTTGACGAGCGCGATATCGAGACGGGAGTGTCGGTGAAACTGAATATCTGAGCCGTGGAGGAGATCAAGACATGCTTGGTGGAGGCGGCCCTCTGCGATGGTTGTTAGCCTATGAGTCCAGCCAGTAGTGATGTAGGCGACGTACTCTTAGGCACCGCAAAGAGGAGACGGTCGTTCAAGCTGTTTCCCAAGAGGTCAGTCATGAAAGGAAGGCTTCTGCTACCCTGTCGCGCTCTTTGCGCGATGCGCTCGATTTCACTCGCGCCTTCAATACCGTTGGTGTACCCCATGGTCATACAAGAAGCTTATCAGAAGAAGGAAAAAGAATGGGGAAAAGAAACAATCGAACATACGAGTTGACGAGATCCATGGCTATGAATCAAGCACGCAATTGCTAGGGTTTGTAGTATGCAGACGCGCGCTGTGCACCCTCTAACAAAGACTTGAATGGGGAATTCTGCTACGGGCTAGGCCACGAGTCCCACGTCGGCACTTGCAATTGGATGCGGGCTTGCTGCCGTGGTGAGGGCTAAATGCGCGGGCGGCGTCAGACCAGATATGTGGGCTCAAGTGGGTGGATGTGTGTGTCGTTTTGTAGTGTACAAGATTGAGGCGCGTCTCGAATGAGTGACTCAATGAGGGGTAAGAGCTACACGTGTGATGCGCCAATGGCTATGAACCCTCAAAAGCATAGTAACTGGACGCGCATATCGGTAGTATTGGGTTTAGGCAGTCTCTGGCTCACATCATCCCAATTGGCGCAGGAAATTTGGTTACCGTGACTGACTGGCGCGTTCAATTTTTTTGCGGGATGACGTTCCATCAACACATGCTGCCCCGCGTTGCGATGCGTCGGAGTTTGACGAAGCGGCATTGGCCGGCACCAACTCAATCGCAAGATGGCTCACTATCGCGTCTGGACTGTGGGCTGACATATGTACCTCAACTTTCTATATTCACCGCTGATGGAAGAGAGTTGATACACGCGTCACCACGCTATTGTTGTGCTGTTGATGTGGAATGTTTCAACATTGGGTGGGAGGAAATACCATGCTCAGATTGTAAGAGCCAGACATCTACTGTCTACGCGTGTCTATCTATAATGCACTACATATGCATTAAACCTATGCCGCTTTATCCCGAAGCACAACCGTGAAACAGAGACGTCAAGCGCAAGACGCCATGCACGCATGTTTCCCTTTTGATCCTTCCTGAAATGACCAAACCGCGACTCCAAACTGAATGATGAGGGATGAACTCCAATATGAAAGGCGTGTGTATAGAAGGCCCGTCATACCTCACATGAAGTCGTCACTATAGATCTGTTAGCATCTGTGAAAGCCAGACAGGCTCAAGTATGACTTACTCGCCAAAGTCGTCGTCATCGTATGCCCTCGTATCTGCCCTGACGCCGACGTCTCTGCTCGCGTTAAGTGTGGTCTTGGTCTTAGCAGCCTTGCTCTTCTTTCCACCCTTCTCAGCAGCCTTCTCCTCCTTCATCTTCTCGTTGCTCAGTGTCGTCAGACCAGATGCAATCTTCTTGATCTGCTCACTCGGCAGATCCTTGGCAATCTGCTTGGTGAACTCCTGTAGGAACAGCGAGTACTGGCCCTTCTTAGAGTTGCCAGCAATCAGAGGTGTGAGAGTTTCGCGGAGCTTAGTAAACTGGTCCTTGGTGTTGGGGTTGAAAATGGCGAGGGCGGAAAGATCAATGGCCTTGCCCGGGTCGGACTCGTCGGCAATAGTGATGGCTTTGCCAGTACGGGCCTTGGGGGCGACGCTCAGGTCGCCAAAGAGTTCCTCGGCCTGGGCGCGCGAAGCGTCGAGTTCTGCCTGGCGCATTCGTTCGCGGCGTTCAGCCTCAGTCTCTTCTTCGTCGGTCTCGCCATCCTCTTCCATCTGCCGCCGACGTAGCGCTGCCTGCCTGTGCTCCTCGATTCTTTGCGCCTTGGACTTGTGGTTTGCCTTTGCCTCTGCCTCTGCCTTAGCCTTTGCCTCGGCGGCCTTCTTTGCCTTCTCGCGTTCGACTTCGGAGTCCTCGGCGGCGTCCCATGAGTCTAGTACCTATTGTGTCCAACGTCAGTACATTTGGTCGTGGCGGGGCTCGAAGTATTCAAGCGCGGGGCATGATGGGCTGACGCACATCGTCGTCTTCTTCTTCATCGTCGAACTTGCTGCGGCGGGCGATGGGAGCCACCTGTGGGGATGTGGGAGAATCGCTGCCCTCATCCTCGTCGTCTGTAGATCATGTCAGTCCCAAGTTTTTGCATGACCATCTTGAACCGCGCGCAGTGGCAGCGAACATGACGTACCCCACTTTCCTGGTGCCATGGTTGCAGTTGTTTGTGAAAAGGTATGGGCTGTGTGTTGTTGGGAGTAATATATCCAAGGGTTCTGACGGCAGCGCAGGGTTTTATGGGCGAGTGGTGTGGGTGAAGGGAACCATCAAAGGTTGACTACGGCGCAAGACAATGGTTGGGCTTCTGCAGGTGTCGCGCGTGGCTCGCTTGATCTACCAAAAAATTAGCTGCCCAATCACACATAGTACGCCACATTCACTCTTTGCACACCTCGAGTCGCTACGACCCTGTGTTTATTGTAAATGAAATGCAGGTCAAAACTGGCAGTACAATGAACTGATGCATGAGGAACTCTAGATTCCATTATTGCTGTCCTGCTCACGCTAGGCCATGCTTCGGCCGCAGGCGCCTTGCAGCCATTTTGTATCAGCCATCTCATATCTACAAGACATTACTTCTTTAGCCTTTTCCTTCACGCCTGTCAAGGCTACAAGTACAATGAAATCCCTAAATCTAGCTAAACAACAAAGAAACAAGAACGGAAGATGAAACTCGAACCCAACCAGGACATTGCCAGAACATGTTGGAAGTAAACGAGTTGTTCGGGACAAAAGACCCGGATTTACTCTTCGGGAACCTCCCAGGGTCTCCAGAATTTCCATCCCTCTCGAACCTCTCTGAGGCCTTTCCGTTTCGAGCTGGACACCCCGACCAGTCTTTCAATACCGACTGTGCCCTCGGCCCGAAGGAACTTCTCTTGATCAATCTCCTCTCCGCCTTCCTCTTCGTTCCCATTGTGTAGTACAGCAGGCCAAAGCACACCCACTCCGTCACCGGCAAGCGTCGTCTCGAACTTCTCGAAGCCTTCTTTCTCTAATTTGACCTCAAGAGAGTCGAGAATTTTGTACTTTAGCTTTGTGCCGTTAGATATTACGGACGCGGCGCCGCCCCCGTCCGCTTCGGAAGAGTCGTCAGATTCGTCTGATGAGGTGTCGTGGTGTCCGTTTGAATGACCGTTGGTAAGGGCTGGTGGTTGCGGCTTAAGGATGGTGATAGCGCATCCTCCGCCTCCTGCACCCGTAAGTTTTGTCCACCCGATGCCCGTGTGATCGATAATCTCGCGGATACGCTCAAGTTTGGGATGTGAGACGCCCAAAGAGACGAGTAGACCGTGGTTCATCGTGACAAGCTCACCGAGATGTCTTAGCGAGTCTGGTGAGGTTGCATCGAAATCAGGGGATGTGAGAAGTTTATGTGCAGATTCTGTTACTAGGCCAATAGCATTGAGGATGTTTTCTGTGAGGGCAGGATGCACCTTGAGAAGGTTGGCAACCTTGGCGACTTCTGTTGCCGTGCTGCGCGATTGTCGTGTGTTGACGAGCAGCAGTGGGAGCTCGGGGAAGCTATGCAATGGTATGACCAGAGGTGGCTTGTCGTAATCCCTCCGCTGGAAGAGAACCGCTTTGCCGCCCGAGGAAACGGTATTGTCGACACCTGAGGGATTTCCGTGTATGCACATCTCCCCAACGAACGCCCAACGGTTGATTCGCTCGATGTTGAGCTCACATTCTTGCGGCGGCTGGTCTTGATGGGGTCCGCTGAGTGCGCGTATCTGCAGCAGCATTGCCGTGCTGAGGCAGACGGATATACTGGCGCTACTGCCCAATCCAGCACCAATGGGAATGGTGGATCGTAGTGTGTAAACGCACGGAGGAACTTTGCGCGACGCGAGGGAAAGAAAGAGGTATAGGAAGGAACACGCGGAGGCGTGGTGGATCTTGCGTATCGACTCGGGGGCTTTGGGTGATACTTCGTCGATGAAGGGCTGGATGGCGGCCATGAGGTCGGGGTCGAGCGAGGTGACGAGGTCGTAGTAGTACTTCTTCTTGCCCGACTTGGAGAAGCTGTCCCATGGCAGATCATCGATATTCCACGTGTGTTCCATCTGTATGTCGGGGAAGCGCAGTTTAACGGTCCGATTCGATTTGGAGAGGAACGAGACGTGGAGGTAGGAGCGGAGCGATATGGCGGCGGCGATGGCAGCCTGCAGACGGTCAGCATATGTTTCGACATGATTGTCCTGATAATCCTACCTTGCCGTGCACTACCGCGTGTTCTCCGTAGACGATGACCTTGCCGGGTGCAGAGACCATGAAAGGAGGCATCATGGGTGACGACTGCTTCCTGAGCAGCGCAGGCGCGCCGTTCGGCTTTGTTGTGGAAATGGAAGGCATCTCAGAGGCCAATTGCGCGGGCATGGAATCTATAGGCGAGGGTTCGGGTGTTTGGGTGGAATGCGACGATGTGCGCGGGTGAAGGCTCGCTGCGTACGGGTTAGCCATACAGGACTCGGACATGATCGGGACAATTGCCTTACCGGGCGCGTCGACGGTTCGTCTGCGCATGCTGCCGTTTGCTGCCATGGCTGGTGGAAGAAGAAGAAGAAAAGCAACAGGTGACAAGTGAGCGTGAGTGAATGGAGTAGGGAATTGGCCGTCAAGGAGGCGTCGTGCTCAACGGGCGGGCCAAGTACCAAAGTCGGGCGAGGTCATTATACATGGGCTAAGTCGGCGGCGGACTAGTCTTCAGCTCCACCATGCAGGAACTGACGGGGGTAATCTTGCATCCCTGTTTCTGGAACCGCCCTATGGCTGCCGGCACATTTCCAACAAACAAATGTCCCGCCATCTACCCCGAGTGGCCTCTCTCCTCTATGACGCGACTCAATCCTCACTGGGGGTGCCGTCACGTCCCATTCACCCCAGAGGCCCCCAAATGCCTGGGCGCAGTCACGCGAACAATAGCAACACTGCCCCTTGCCGTTACGCACCCGTCCTCTACAGCCGCAGTAAGCTTGACGAGGGGCCCGGTGGCTTAACACTAGGATCGATGGTTCAAACGCGGGGAATATTAAAGTCTTATCAACTGTAAGCCCTATTAGGCCCGACACGACCATGTCTGCCACGCAATCGTCGGGCTCCGACCGTCCGTTGTGCGAAGCTTACAGCCACGCCACGCCATGCAGCGCGACGCAATCGACTGACAGAAACATGAAGGCTAACGCCAAGCTTGTTGTTGTGTAACAGGGCATCTCTATGCCCTATATTGCGATTGCTCGTAACTTGAATATACAATACAGCATGTGCATGCTGAACGAAAAACCCTGATAACTCCTCGCTATGCATGTACAGATCAGCTCATCCGGATGAGTCTACGATGGCGTCTTGATCATGAAAATCTATGGAGACGTTAGTGGAAAGCACGTCAAGCCATGGCAATGCAAACATACCTCTTTCATCGCTTGTGCATCCATAGTCGCAGCCTTCTTCTGCCGGATCCACTTCTGTCTGACGGCATGCATGCCTCTTGGAGTGTATGATAGGCCCGCGGGAACAGGCGTAGATGTCTTCGACACAGGTACCGATGAGATCGTTGTCGGCGCGCTCTCGTCTTCCTCGCTTTCTGAGCTCGAGTCGTCTGAGCTGTCCTTTTTCGCAGCCTTCTTTGCAGCTTTCTTCAGGGCCTTCTTCGCCTTCTTCTCCTCCTTGCGTGCCTTCTTCTCGGCCTTCCGCCGTTCCTTATCTGTGAGCGGTTCTGGGTCAGATGCCGGAGCGGCGGCGTCGTCGGTGGAAGATTCGGCATCAGATGAAGATGCCCGTTTTGATTTCTTCGACTTGTCTTTCTTCTTTTCCTTTTTATCTTTTTTGTCCTTCTTGTCTTTCTTGGACTTGGATGAGTCGCCCTCCTTCCGTGCTTCGTCGCGCAAATCCATGCTCTTCTTCTTGCGCTTCACCTTGGGCTCGTCTTCGGTGCGCTCCTCTCGCTTCCTCTTTTTATCCTTCTTGGCTGATGCGCCATCCTCGCTCTCCGACTCAGTCTTAATCTCAGTCTTGATCTCCACTTCCTTCTTGATATCCGAGCCCTTGGTAATCTTGTCGCCCACCAGGAAACCACCGCTCACAAAGTTCATCATGCCGTATTTCCGGTAGACAAAAGCCCTCTTCTCAATTTCCTCTCGCCTTTCCTCTTCCTTCTTGACCTCTGCCTCATTGCCATTCAGACGTCCAAGAATGCTCTCTAGTCCTGCGAGACCAAAGTTCTCGGCGCGCTCACTTCCTCGCTTTGCGCCCAAGCCAAGATTATCGTCCTTGAGGAATACTCGAATATGCGATTGCGAGGCAGCGGTATAGTGAGCGGCGTGGGAGGCGTCTGTCGCGCCCAGTGAGTTGCCGGGCTGCCATCCTTGCGATGTCAATATGCGGTGGCCGAAGCGCGAGGTGTTGTTCGCCCAAGTAGTGTTTTGGGGATCATTGGAGATCTTCGATCGACTGGTGTGGCGTTAGTTTGGCAGGAAACAGCCAGAGCCAAACTGGCGAACATACTTCTTCGGCGCTGCGAGACCCATGCTGAGCACTGAACAGACTGAGCGATTTCGTGATTGTTGAAGAGAAAGCGGGAGTCCGCAAACACAAGCCCGAAAAAACTGTGGATGCACGCTAGCGCGGAATCTTGGCGCCATCCATGTGGGGAAGCCATCCCTCGCCGTGTCCAAGCCTCCGACTTTCACCCTCCAACTCACAAGCTTCCATTACTTGAGCCACAACGACTTTCGCAACACGAAGGCTTCGGCAACGATTGATCACCACTTTCACTCACACCACTAATCATCAGCACTTACCAACAGCAGCCATGGCACCACCGCGCACAACCAAGAAATCCACACTCACAAGCCCCTCCACAGCTACCACTCGCCAGAGCGCCAGGCACTCTCGGAAACAGGTCATCAACGAAGCAGATGATCTCGAAGATCTCGACCAAGGCAATAGCGCGATCGACGATGAACATGCTGGGGATGACGAGGCAGAAGCATTGCAGCGCACTTCCGATGGCCCACTGGAACAGATGATGGTGAAGATGGTAGACGACGTATGTTGAGGTGGACCCATCACCAACAGACTGTCGTCTTTACATCCGCATCTATGACCCACACTCGCCTCGTCATTCGGTTGTCGGAGACATGAGGCTAACCACGTGTGCAGCGACGCAAGTATCATGACATGTCAAAGATGAATGTAGGTATAGCTTACAACAAAAAGAAAGAGGAGTTGGAAGAGTCTATCAATGCAGTCTTTGACACGCACGAGGCAGAGGCGTAAGAAACGTAGTCATGGAAAGTTGATGAACCACAAACTAACTGTACCTCAGATCAACAGCCCATCAAGCACAGCTCAAACGACTCCAGGATCTTCTCGGCCAAAAGATCAATATCGAAACCGCGATGGGCAGGCAGCTAGCGAGCTTGCAAAAGATACACAACGCGCACTCTCGTGATCTCGAGACAGTCATCGAACGCCGACTACGGGAGATGAAGTGAGCCCTAGACCTTTGGAGACAAAGAGAGTGGCGAGCCGGGCATGCGCAGAATATTGCAGGCCTGTCGCAGGGACAATTCGCCACAACAAGAGTCACGAATCTTGCTTTAAGTGTCATAGACCAAGTCATGGCGGAACAAGCAGGCAATGTCTTCTCAAAGTTGAGGTCGCAGGTATCAAAGTAATGTAATATAATTCAAGGATATCATAAGAGTAGACCACCCAGCTATTTCCTGTAAACTTTCGTTTTGAAAAGATTCCCGCATAAGATTCCGCTGTGCGCAACGCTCATATCTATGCATAGCCGCGACTGAAAAACCACAAACGCCATTGTCATGCATGTCACCTCCGGTACTCCGGCAAGGCTTCGCTTTGCCGCCTGCTATCTTGCGGCGCACCCTGCGTACTTCGACCTGGGCGTACAGCGCCCACAAGATCTTCGTCTTCATCGTTTAGCGCAGGCGCTGAGGGTACCAATTGTAAGCTCCGCATGCTGTCGAGTGGTGGCGCTGAAGGAGCATGTGAGGACTCTCCATCTTCATCATTGTCTGTGGGCGGTGCACTTCTTTCCATCTCCAGTCTGCGTCGCTGCATTTCCTGCTTGTCATCGGTGGGTTCGACATGTGATGATGAACCAGCGACGTACTCTGGTGCGGAGCCTTGTGCCGTATGTGGCGATTGGGGTGGTAATGGCGGCAGTGGTTTTGATGGGTCGTTGTCTTCGCCATTAACGGGTGGCTCTGATCGACTGGGCTGTATGGTATGCGAGGACTCGGTTCGAATTGTTCTCGTCTCGTCATCTGTGATGTTCGTAACACGGCGCTGTAACGATGGTGATGATGTCATGCGTGACGACAACATTGGCGAAGATGTCGCACGGAATGGGGGCGGAGGATGGGCTGGAGTCGAAGATGATGAAGCAACTGCGACGTAAGGAGGGTTTGGATCATCATCTTCCGGCAGTACAGGCGCTGACGCAGGTATGCCATATTGAGCACCCCCTGAAGGCGTGGAAGATCCAGCAGCATCTGGCGGTTGGGAAGGTAGTAAGCGTTGTTCTGCTCGTCGCAACCGTTCTTTTTCCGATATCCCCTGCTCTTCTTGAGGAACAACTGCAGGCACAGGGAACGCTGGTGCCCTGCCTGCGCTATGCTGTTCATATCCGGGGACGTCGTCATACGTTGGATCGTAGTTGTAATCGTAGTATTGCCCGTTCTCGTCCTGCTCGTAGTAGTACTGATCGTAGCCCTGCTCATCGTTGTATCCGCCGTAGGCGCCATTGTCATCAGCCGGCTGTTCCTGTATCTGTTTCTTCTTGCCATTCCTGTCGCTGTCTCTGGTGCCGATAACAACTTCGAATAAAGCAGAGATGATGCCCTTCTCGCGGCGAATCTGATCGGTGTCGACAAAGTTGCCTCCCCAAGTCGAGAACATGCTGCCGCTAGCATCGTCACGTGTCATGGCAGAGGTACCTCCAGCTGCAGAAGGCAGATTGACAAGCCCAGCGTTGGACACCATTCGGTCGAGACCTGTGAGCTTGCCTTGTATATCTACAACGACCTCGACGTAGTACTTGAAGGATATCATTGCGCCCGGTACGTTTGATATTGTGGGAAAAGCCTCATCCGGTACGCGCACCGCACACTTCACCTCGGCCATGAGCGTTCTGGGGTCAACGAAAAGTGGTGCGAACGATTGACATAGATCCTTTCGGAACAAGTGACTGGATCCAGCTGACGAGAGGGACAAGCCTCCTAGGCCAGTCCTCGATTTCGGATAGTAATCTTCTGACTTGGTCTTGTCTCCTTTGCTGTTGGGTACGACAGGCAGTGCAGGATGCATATCAACTCTTGCTTGACGATATAACGTGATGATGATGCCTTTCAAGCTTCGTATATGCTTCGTGTGATTCACAGTCACTTTGATCGGTATTTGGTCGCCTCTGAGAAAGCCGCCCTTGAGCACGTCGATCGTGGCTGTGATTGTCTTTCCTTTCAGTGTCGCTCGACTTCCATTTTGTGAGTTTGATCCATCTGTAGCCGTGTTGATCGAGCGAATGCCGTACTCCGTTCCGGAAGCGTTTCCACTACTCCTTTGACTCTCATAGCTCACATCGCTAGGCGAGGGGCTCCGTGGACCCTCCGTCTCATCAATGGTCTTGGTTGCTTCCAATACAGGCCCCACTGGCTGAGGCTCCGAACCAGAGGGTGTATGTGGCGTTTCCTCTATTGGCCTTTTCCGCGTCGACCTGGCGCGTGTTCGTCTAGATATGGGTTCCAGAGAAATGACACGGGGCTTCAATTGCGGTACGGGCGCGATGTCGATCGATTCGGTGAGGTAGACCTTTGTGTCGCATGACGCAGTCGGCGACATAGTCGTGGGGCGTGTCAAGGTGGCATTGAGCATGTAAGATATCGTTCCGCGCTCGAACTGTGATTGGTTGTTAGTAAGTCTGTCAGCCGCAGATGAATCGCTACTCACGTCAATACTGCTGGGTAAGCCTTTGGAAGGGAACTCGAGCTCGAAGTTGAAGTGGTATACACCCTCAGCCAGTCTTCCCTCGCCGCAAAGCACAACCTCGTCCTCGAACAGCGAAACGAATCCATTGCCAAAGTAGCTCACTGCCTTTTTCCCTCTCCCAGAGCCGACTGTTGAGCAGTAGTTCTTGTAAGCGTCTCCGGGAGTATTTGGGTTCTTGAAAACCTGCGCATAGCCGTGCAAAGATACGACCAAATGAGTGATTCTCAGTGGTTTGACGATCTTGATAATGACAGTCCCACTAATGATATCGCCTGGCGTGTAATGGCGATGGGGGTCATCTGATTGAATATAGAATTCAGTGTAGTTGCGAGACTTGGATGTCAAGGGCGATTTGAGCCGAGAGAGAAACGACCGGCTCGACACTGGAGAGGACGGAGTAGCAGCTGAACGTGTCTGGCTGGAAGTCATACTCCGTGTACCAGGCACATCATGCGGCTATCCGCAGTATAGACGGTCGTCTCCGGGAGCCTACGCGATTCTACAGATGTGCCAGTACAAGCTAGTCGCTTGGGCCGCCGGGACGAGCTGTTGCGCGCAAGCACCGGTGTCGGGAGGCGCACGCGACTGTCGGTAGGTATATCGCGAAAACGGCTTTGCGTGGCTAGTCAGAACAATAGGCGCAACAAGCACGGCGGAGGACGCGGTCAGGTGTCCGGTATATGGTGTTGTGGTTCTTGGGCGATCGCTTCGGGGCTGGCGCACGCAACGGCGACGCGCAACTGTCTCAGATGGACGGGGGGCTGTGGTGATGGCGATGGACAACGTCGGTGACAAGCAACTGGATAGCGCGCACCTCTGGTCAGCATTGCGGTGGACACGGCGTAATCGTGGCAATACGGTGCTGTCTCGCGGTCCCACGCGGGGAACGACGATGGTGATGGTGGCAGTGCTCTCTAGCGTGAGCAAAGACAAGCCGTCGTGCACGGCGCCGCAGCCCCATGGATGCTAACGTGACGGGCACGAGGCGGACAGCGGACAGCAATCGGGACGCTTGTGGGGCGCGAGGGAAGGGATGGATGTATGATGGATCAGCAGTTACGTACAGCTTGGGTCGCGCAGAAGGCTTGTTCAAGAGCCGCAAATGCTCTTGGCTGCCAAGTCGTCAAAGGAACACAGGGTCTGTCCACGGTGGAGAGTGGTTGAGCGGGGGCTTTTGGTGGGTGCAAAAGTTCGGTCTCATCAGTAGCACCTGGAGATTGTTGTTTAGTTGGAGTCTGGAGGCCCGACGACGTGTTATGTACGCAAGGGCACGAAAGCACTGCCTGGGTCGTCGCCAGCTATACAAGAAAGTTACCCACGGAGGCAGACACCGTGCTCGCTGCAGCTGCACACCATGCGCGGGTGAACCTACGCGGATCCCCGATGCTGGGTCGCTAGGCTGTTGCGTCGCGCGATTCTTTTTGTCTGCCCACTCGGCCTAATCCTATGCGAGTTGCGTTGTCTCTCGATACCGCTTGCGAAGCTTGCTGGGGCTTCTCTTGGGATCAAACCGACTAAGGTGGGCACTGGAGCTTGCGAAACAGCTAATGTCATGAGAGTGACCCATACAGTATCGAGTCTGTCTGCAGCGCTGATGAAGTCTGGCGCCAAATGCTATTATGTTTAGCCATCCTGCATCAGCGAGGGGACAGGCCCACTGCGGTCTCGATCATGCCGTCTGCGTCCTAGCGCGCGATCGTAGCTAAGCTTCTCTGCCAAGCAGGTCATCAATGCTTGTGTCGCGCTGTTAGTGCGTCACAGCCATGGACATCCTTCACGTTTTCAGGAGTACGGATATCACCACCTCCTCGATTCTCGTCGCAACGACATTAGTAAGCTAGAGCATATCATGCTAACTGCTGCGCACTCATAGGTGGGGGGTAGCTTGGTAGACGCCCGAACGACGTACCTACCTAGGTAGGTACTTCCGAGGTCTGTTATGGTCTACGATGAATCGTGACTAGAGAGAACTTTCTTCTAATCTTTGCTCCTGCGCTCTGATGGATCTCGGCGATAAATCTCTTCATGTCGCTTGGATTGTTCCCAGGTACAGACATTTTATGATGGAAATTCTGGATAGCCACTCACAACCATTGCATTCCAAGCAAGACCTAGACGATAACACAAAATCGGGTACGCGAAACCATGGTTGTAAACTGCCCACAGTAAGCTTATTACATCGCTACTGACACCCCTTTTCTCGAGCTACGATACACTAGAGTCCTTCAATCATATTTGCATCTCTTAAGGTTTTACCTCCAGACGACGCCACTCTAAGATCTGCTTCCATTATCAGGGTCAAACTTCGACAACAAGCCATCAAAGACTACATAGAACTTGCAAGCAGGAGACGAAGGCCTACTACGTATCAGCCCACCAACGTATCAATAGCCAAAAAGCAAAAGGCTATGAGTATTCACCCTACTATGGACTCAATCGACAGACTCAAAACTGGCTTCGCCGCGCTCCCAGAAGAAGTTCGCCCAGAAGTCTACAGATGGAATGCAAATTGTATGGTCCTCAATACTGTTCCTGGGATCAAACATGTACGTTGGGTGGCCACTGCATGCAATTCTGGCATCACTGGAGTCAGCCGGGAGATCCAGCAAGCTGCCGGCGACACGTTGTATGCGCTCGACCGAGAAAAGGAAGCACGCATTGTAGTGCACTGGAAGGGCATCAAGCAGTTGCCTCGCCTCTTGCAACTACTCGCAAATACGTATACATGGGGTCAGCGCTGGCTTGAAGCCAATCCACCAAACGCGACAGATGGTCAGCAAGATTGGGTGCGAGTCAAAAAGTCAACTTCGCATGATCTCAACGCACTACTTTACGAGTATCTTAATCCCAGCCATTACAAGAGAATTTTCAGCGAACTCGGAGATCCATCACGATCACCTGAGCTTTCCGCACTGGTACGAGACTGGTTTAGTGATATTGCTACAAAATGCAATACCGCCGCCCCGATCCCCATGAACGTAACGGAACGACGTCTCTTGATCGAGTTTCTGGAGATGACAATGGACAAACTACGAAACCCAAGCACGAAGGAAGATCTCGAAATATCTATTACCGTCCCGACAGCAGACGCCAATTATACAGACCCTGACGGCCAGACCAGGGGAGTGCATCTTTATCACGTGGTGGAATACATGTATCGACTTTTCGAGACATTCCGGACGCAGTTTCGAATCAGATTTCGGCTCCTTGCTGTCCTAAACACCCCAGCAGACCAGTTGAATTGGACACTGGTGGGTGGAGCTTACGCCGATTTCATAGAGCCGTCCTATAATCTTGTGCGAATGGAGGGTACTGGTGACTTTGAGGTCAGGTTTGGCAGCATCACGCGTGTAGATTACGAGGCACTCGACATGGCTTGATTGTAGCTGGTGACGGGTGTTTAGGTGAAACAGAGTGCTCCAGAGGTCTCCTCGCTCGAACGCGAAGTTCCGCAGGGTAAATTTGTCACTCACTTGAGTATCGAGACGTTACGCCTACAGCTGGCTAATGAGCACGCCAATCGTTCAGAATATGGTGTTGTTTGTCAGTAGGGCGGGCGTGATCTAGTTCGGAAGATGGCTGACTCAGCGAGCAGTCGCAGAAAGCACAGACTGACTCGGAGGCGCTGAACTTTTTTGGCCGGAAGGCAAAGCAAGGGTACGATTGCTCTCAGTATCCACAACCCCTCGGCGTCTCTACTTTTCTCTAGTTTCTCAGTGCGGATTACTTTGTATGTACGAATGAAGATAATGAAACTAGTTTCACACACTCTCTCATCTCGCCCGTTCGCTCTTGCTCGTCTCGTTCAGCCGCGCTCTCTAGCAACTAATACAAGACATAGCCTCATCTCGACAATCCCCTTCGCACTCAACTGCAGTCAACACAGACAGTACACCTCACTTCCAGCACCAGTCCCAGACATGTCCGCACCACCGAAGCGCAAGTGGACTCGCGGCGGCAGAGGAGGAGGCCGTGGAGGCGGCGGCGGTGGCGGCGGTGACCGTACCAATGGCACACCTGGGCGAGGACCTGCGAACGCTCGCTCGACCATGTCGCAGCAGCCAAAACGTCCTAGAGTCGAAGACACGCTGCCGAAGCCAGATGCGGGCGTCGACGTACGGCAGATGTACAGCACTGCGGCAGGCGATGCGGCACCGAAGCCATTCGCCGACCTGAAGAACAAACTACACCCAGCGTTACTCAATGGCTTGGACAAGATGGGATTTGAGTAAGCAGAGCCTTTCTTGCATTACACCCTCTCGGCACAGTCGCTAACCATTGCAGATACATGTCCCCTGTTCAACAAAAGGTCCTCACCGAGCTGCCCACTCTCTCCTCCGACTGTGTTGTACAGGCGAAGACAGGTACTGGCAAGACCGTGGCCTTCCTACTGCCTGCGATCCAAAACCTCTTGGCCGGTAACATGCCCCGGAAAGGCAAGGTCGCCATCCTCGTCGTCTGCCCTACCCGCGAGCTGGCTCTACAAATTGCGAAGGAGTGCAACGGTGTCACATCGTGTCTGCCCCAGAAGATGGAGTGCCATACTGCGTTCGGTGGTACTTCCCGTGCCTCGAACCTCAAGGCCTTCATGAACGGCAACCCTACCGTCTTAGTCGCTACTCCCGGTCGCCTGGACGACATTCTGGGTGAAGAGGAAGTTCGCGAAAAGTTCAGTGATCTGAAGACGGTCATCCTCGATGAGGCTGATCAGATGCTCGATGCCGGGTTTGCACCTGCGGTCAAGAAGATTCTCAGGCGCATCCCCCCAAAGAACGATGGCTGGCAAGGAATGTGTTTCTCCGCCACACTCCCCAAGGAGGTTCTTGACATCGCCAAGATCGTCTTATTCCCTGGTTACACCCATCTTTCGACTGTCGACCCGAACGAAGTGCCGACCCATGAGCGCGTACCACAGTTCTTCTTCTCTGTCCCTACCGTCGGTCAGACTTTCCCTGCGTTGTCAGCCCTGATCGAGGAGGAGTACAACCAGAACCCTACCGACTTCAAAGCCATTGTCTTCGGTACCACCGCGAACGGTGTTGGACTGCTGTATGACCTCTACCGAAATGCGCTGCCCCAATTCAAGCTATTTGAGCTCCACAGCCGCATGTCTCAGCCTGCACGCACACGCACTACTCAGGAGTTCAAGGATGCTCAAAGCGGTATTCTGTTCGCATCCGACGTCGTCGGGCGCGGCATGGATTTCCCCAACGTTGGCCTCGTCGTTCAGCTGGGTCTCCCCTCAAGCACTGACCAGTACGTTCACCGTGTCGGCCGAACAGCTCGTGCCGGTAAGGATGGACGTGCCGTCCTCGTTCTCTTCGAGCAAGAGGCCTTTTTCCCAAGGATCAACAAGACGCTGCCTATCAACCCATACCCCGTCGACCTTGTGTCACGTCTACCCTCGCATCAAGCAAACATTGACCGAGCCTTCGCCAATGTCGATGAG